CCGGGGAGAGGGCTCTGTATCTGGGCATGTAGACCTGTGTTAGCGCACGTGTGGGCGTGTCGGCGTGTGTGCATGTGGACTTCTGTGTTGGTGTATACATCCATGCATATGAGTGTATATGGAAGTGTGCGGGTGCGTGTGCTCCCTCACAATGCCAGGCGCTGCTGAGCTTCTGTCCGAAGGATCGAGTTCCTCATCTTTGACCCAGCGCCACGACCCTGTCTGGGTAAGCAAGACCTCTGCGAGCGGTTGGGAGGTGCGTCTTTGTGACGTGGATGGAGGCTCCGTGCGTTTGGGGCCTCTCCCTTGCTGTGGTCCAGAGGCTGCGGGACAGGGAGGCTTCTGGCTCGCCGGAGCCTTCATGCCGCCCTCCCTGTTGTGGCTGCCCGGGGCCTGGTGTCAGAGCGCGTGTGTTAACAAAGCCAGCGGTGGGGAAGGAGGCAGCTGATACACCGCGTGGGGCTCGATCGGGCTGGTGGCCAGCGATCCCTCACTCCCGAGCTGTCTGAAATTTCAGCATGTGATCCCCTCCCCCACCATGAATATTTAAATAATGTTAATGACCCTTTGAAAACGGACTGTGTGGAAATCCTGAGAGGACACACAAAAACACCCCACACAGAAAACAGTATTTCAAAAGGCAAGGCGTTCTGTGCGGAGGACATATAATATGAAGTCTGATTTCTTGAATTCAACTTTCCACGAGGCGTGACCAAGGTTTTTCATTTTCCCAGTGATTCTCTCTCTCCAACTCTGCAAGTCAGAGCCCCTTACTCTCCCTTCCAGCTTCCATCTCTGTTGGCCTGCTTTTTGGTGAACCGCTGGCCAAAATCCTGAGTTGATGCTGCATGGGGTGCACAGCAGGTGAAGACGACTGCCGGTGTCTGGTTCTTCTTTCCAAGTCCACAAAGCTTCTTGATTTGCCATAGAAAAACTGATACCATGGGGAACTGCCCAGAAAGCCTGTCCGCGCTCATGGCCCATGAAAAATAGCGCCCTTTCCGGAAAAGGCTTCTTCCCTGTCTGGAGGTTTAGTCTCACCTTTCCTCAAGGGGGTTTGGGGGTGGAGTGGGGGGTGGGGTGGGGTTAAAGGCTACAATGGAGATGTCAGCGGTTCTCCTCAGGGTTCCTGAAAGTCAATAGGCTTCTTATCCTTGGCATTTAGGGATTGTTTCACCAGGCTTTTTGAATGTTTGTCTCTTACACTATTGAATTGCTATAGAATTTACTGACCAGTGGCCAGAGATTACAGAGCTTCAGCTTCAATCAATTCCTTCCTTCCTTCTCTCCTTCTTTCCTTCCTTCCTTCCCTCCTTCCTTTCTTTCCTTCTTTCTTTCACCTCCTCATGCCACTGACTTAAGGAGTTAAATATTTGGCTGCCCTACATTGTGATCTATTTTTAACTTTTTAATAGCATGTGAAAACTCACATGGAAACGAGCATGTTTGGTGACATTTATTTATATGGACCATAGACTTTTCAAGGAAAGATTCTAAAATTACAACAGAGGTGAGATTTCTATAAACAGTATTAGGGCAAGTGCTTCATCACTCTTCTTAGGTTCCTAAATTAGAATGTATTGTTTCCGAATCAAATTTGTTTCATTACTAGTAAGAGTGGAGTGGTTTAGCAGTTCACACGGCTTTACTCTCAATTCTTTCCTATAGCAATGTTAATGTTAATATTAATTTAATGTTATTTTAAAATACTAATTAATGTTAATTTTCTGTGAATATTAATTTTAATGTTCTGGCATAGCCTGCAGAAAACTATTGAGAATATTAATTAATTTAGGAAAAATACATGTTTAATAGCTATTAACTTACAAGAACATTTCCTTTTCTTTCATCTTATACAATATTAAAGAAGTAGCCATGATTAAATTACACTTTTTTTTTAATATAAAAGGCTTAGTACATGCCAGGTACTAAAAAATATTTGCTTAATTTGTTCAATGAAATCAATGCAAAGGTATGAACATCTCCATGTGAAAGTAAAAACTGTTTTAAATGAACACTTTCTCATTTATTTTCCCCTAAATCGGCGGTTCTCAATCAAGGGTGATTTAATCCCACAGGGGACAGTGTGGCAATGTCTGGAGACATTTTTGATTGTGAGAATCAGGGTAGAGGTGCTACTGGCATCTAATGGATAGAGGCCAGGGATGTTGCTAAATGTCCTGAAATGAACAGTACATCCCCAATAACAAAGGATTATTTCATCCCCAAAGCCAAGAGTTCTGAGGTCGAGCTATCTCACCCTGGACTCAAAGCCAGGACTAAGGGCCACAGCTATCAGAACCACATATGTGTTTATTACAAATGCAAATTGACTTTTACCTACTAAGTCAGATTCTCTGAGGGCAGGACCAGGGAAACTGCTTTTTTAACAGCTTCTAGGTGATTCTTAAGAACATGAAAGTGTGAGAAACACCGAAGATGGGAAAGGCTGGCTTTGTGACCTAGTGCCTGCTCAAGGGTTCATCACATCGTATGTGTCTTAAGTTGATAACAGTTACTAGGGCTGAGAAAATTTATAAAATAAACAGGCTTCTTGATGCATGTAAGAAGCACGTATGAAGCAAATAAAAAGCTACTAATTCTGTGAAAAAAAACTAAAAATGGCTAGGATGTGAAAATGTTAACCACTCCCAAAGGCCCTATGCCATTTAGGACAGAAGACCATCTATGGAAATGTTGCTTGGTAGGAGAGGAGATCAGGATTTCATTCACTATGGCCTGAGTGTACATTTTTGCTCATGTTGCCTCTGCCATGCTGCCTGCCCACTTTAAACGCTGCCCCTGAGCACGAGTAGCCTCCAGGGGACCCAAGAAATAGGGAATACTTACTAGAGAAACACTGAAAGTAAAGGTTGGGTTTTTGGGAAAGGAGTCTGCCTAGACACAGACTGATAGAGCTGCTTCTTTCTCCCCAAGCTTAGAGAAGAACAGAAGCTGAAAAAAAGACTGATGAGTGACTCAGGGAGCTGACCTGAAAACCCAAAGAAGCGGCCATGACCCGTCCATCATCAGAACAGATCTGCCATTTCCTCCTTCAAGCAAGGAGGAAGACCAACAAGCATCAGCTGGGTATCATCCTCCAGTGCTAAATGGGTCCCCCAGAAAATAAAGGTTTGCTAGAATAAAAGAATAAGAATAAAGATGGAAAAGCAAACAAAACCAACACCACCAAAGAGGCTGGCCCACATCAAACCAACAGCCCTAGATCTGTGAGGTTTTTCCACCAAGCACCAGAGAAGGTCACTGGAAAATTAGGAACAATCTCAATCCCAAAGGAATCCCCATGGGACCAGATGCATCACTGCAAATATAAGAGAAGAAACAAACAGGGGGAAATATTTACAACATTTATAACAGTGGGTTACTATCTCTAATACGTAAAGAGTTTTTGCAAATCAACATGAACACTGATGAAAATTACTATCTAATTGAAAAAACAAACAAGTCACTTATAGATCAATAAGCACAACCGGCTATTGAACTTAGGAAAAGATGCCCAAAGTCTTCAAAATCTAAAAAAAAAAAGCAAGTGAAAATACTGGGATAATATATTTTGTCTCTGATATTGGTAAATACATAAAATACAAATGTTATCTATGATTGGTGAGAGAATGATGAAAATTAAGTTTTGTACACTGTTGAAGGGAATATAAACTGATGTTAATAAACTGGTAAATTTGTTAGACGATTTGGTCATATCTCTTAGAAGTTTAAAAACAAAAAAAGGTTAAACACTTGAACCTGTGATTCATTTTTGGAATTCAGAAGCTTATAAAATCTGTGAGTCACAAGAAGTCTGAAGTGGGGAGGAGAGGTCAGTGAATGAGAAATTCCTGATTACAGAGAGGTCCAAAATAAAGAGACTATTTAATAGAGACCTTCAAAATTGTTTGCTGTGTAATGTTTTGATGTAAGAATTTCTGGTAACCCCTAGAGCTTTGATAACAGCATTTGTTTGGAGAACCAAAGGCAGGGGGCTTATATATGGCTTGGTGCAGATTAACCATCAAGCAAGAAGGATATGAGATTAAAAATTCAGACAAAATAGGAAATCAGAACAAGAAGTAACCAGGAGACCTAACTCCATCCCATTTGAGTTAACCACTTGAGTCAAAAATCCATAAAAATAGTGGGTGGGCACTGGCCAACTTCTAACACTTTGTGGGTAATGGGCCAAGTAATTTTAATTTAAATATAAAAGGAATGATTTTCCCCTGCAGGCTGTGGGGCTTGGGATAGCCAGCCAACAGATCCCTAGGATTCACACAGATCTTTGGCTTTTTTCTAGTTCAGATAGTGGTTTTACCCTATTCATCTGGACATTTTGTACGTTTAAGGGATTTTCGACTTAAAGACATTTCTCCACTGATCTCTGATTCTTATTAAAGCACAAAACCTCATCTCAAGTTTCCTTACATCCTTGGCTTTTTCAAAGAAGAGGTGACCCCATCCAGGGACTATCTGAACCGTCAACTTTCTGAATGCACAGTGTATAAGACTGACATGTGTCAGTCTATGAACCGTTTGTTTTGACTTACAGGTGTTTTATCAAAATAAAAACACCCTTCTCAACACCATCTCTTCTCTAGGGTCAGGCCTGGTTGCTGAGTGGTGGTCAGCTCTTAAGACTTTGCAAATTGGTGTTTTCCCAAGCCAGCCCACACTGAGAGTAGCTGGAAGACTGAAAAAAGCAACAAACAAAAACCTGGGTTAATTTCCCTAGGAGCTCTGGGGCTCCGGAATCTGTTTGTTTAAGCTTCTCACATGATTGTATGACACAGCCTGGTTTGGGACCCACTTCTGGTGGACACAATTATCCCTTGGCAGGGGAAGGAGGGAGCATTGATCACAAAGACAGGAATGGAAGTCATACGAGAACACTTGGCTCTTTGGACCTTGTTTACTCCGGTTCTTGGCCGCGTTCGAGGCTGCCTGCCTCTCCTTCATTTCCTCTCCAGGGTCTCCCGCTTCCCGTGCCCCAGTAAATTTCTTTCCTGCCTGTTCCACATTTATCTCCTTTCCCTGCATCCTCACACTGGGTCTTTCCTTCGCCAAACCCTCTAACACAAGGAAATGGTGACCTCATGACATTCACCCCAATGCCTGAGATTCTTTTTTTCACAAGACCTGTAAAAACACTCCAAAGAAACATCCCAAAACCCAAGCAATTTTTGCCCATCTAATTGCTTTCATTTTGTCTCACATGATAGCTGGACCGTGCCTTCTCTACAATTGACAAAGTGAAATTGTGCCTCTAGATTGTCCCCTTGTAATATAGGTTTAAAGGGAATCATTATAAAGAACAAGTCATACAGTATTCCAAACTAAAATCATCAGTGAAAGGCAGAGACATGGAAGGTGCATGTTGGAAAGGATGAGGTTTTGGAAAAGGCTGTTGGCGGAGGGGAAAGGCAGGGAGAGAGAGCATAGAAGACGAGTCCCCTTGTGAGGGCAGCAGGAAGGCACAATTTAGGGGGTGGGAAGGGATAAGTTGGGAGTTCGAGATGTGCAGATACTAACTACTATATAAAATAGACAAACAAGCTTCTACTGTATAGCACAGGGAAATATATTACAGTAACCTATAATGAAAAAGAATATGAAAAGGAATATATATATGTGTATGTATGACTGAAACATCATGCTGTACACCAGAAATTGACACAACACTGTAAACTGACTAGACTTTAATTTAGAAAAAAAACAAACGAGAAGACGGATGGCTATTTGGGACCACTGTGGGTCCCACATCCCCAATTCCCTTCCGGAGGCCTCAAAGCTTAAGTGCTAATGGCAAGCACTACTCAGCTGTTACTTTGGTAATTAACAACAAAGCCTGGGGGCCACATTCTTTGTTTCTCGGCTGCGAATTTTATCTCATTTAAGGACTGAAGCATTTGAAAAATCTAGTAAACACTCATGCCCTCCTGGAGACATAGCAGAAAACATGGTGCTTCTTAAGCGTGGCATTACTAACACACAAATCTGCCAAATATACTTGGAATGTTCGGGAAGGTCCTCAGCGTGTTCGCAGACAGGACAGTGGGAGCAGTGCCCCCAGTGCTGAGGACAGCGTCTACTCACAAAACCCCCTGACGTTGCTGCTCCTGAATCGAGCTGTGTTTTAAATCCAAGACTATTTTTCTTTTCGGCGGTGCTTAATTCCTTTTCAATTTAGGGAAGATGAGAATTCTTTTTTCGTTTTTATAAAAATGGGACTGTAACATTTTCCCAGTCATGCTCAAGTGTTCTCCTCAGAACATTTAAGTACAAGCTGTTAGTTTACAGAAAGAACCATAAGGATGTTCAGTAAGATTAGGGGGAATAAAAGACTAAGCTTTGACATTTTAAGTTGGAATAATTCTGATTCTCACAGAGGGGAGGCCTTTGCTGTAGTATCTGACTTACTCATCATGTGTTTTAATATGGAGAACAACCCGGTGAGAAAACAGGCTTTTTCCTTCTACGACATCGAACATATTAAATCATTTATCCTGGTGTTAAGGTAAGTTCACTGAATACGATGGGGAAATAATATGAAGGCATTTTAAGTATATCTACATGGAGTAAGTTAATGACTTACCTAAGTAATCACTAACGTTATAAAATGTTAAGACCATTTATTATTAGGGTTTTTTTAACTTTAATGGAGGTACTGGGGATTGAACCCAGGACCTTGTGCATGCTAAGCATGCGCTCTACCACTGAGCTATCACCCTCCACCCCAATACCACTTAGATATGGAGAGTAATATTAGCTTCTTCTATAGCATATTAAAAGCCTCTGTTAGGAGGGGACCATGGCCCATGTAAACTTTAGAAACCCAATAGCTTATGGTAAAGTCAACCAAAGCATACAGACACACAATGTCTGTGACGTCTCCAATTCCCCGAGTCCTTGCCCTTCTCTCCCGCTCCCTTTCCTCCTCCCTCCCCTCTTCTCTCCACCTTTCCTTCTCTTCTTTTCTCCCTCCTTCCTCTCTTCCCACCCACTTCCTTCCTACTTTCCTTCCTTCCTTCCCTGCCTACCTTCCTCCCTACCCCACTCCCTCTTTCCTTTCCCTCTTAGACCACAGCCTAGTTAATTTTAGGAGCAGGCACTGCAAACTCAAATACCTTCAGAAGCCAGACAGATAACATAAATGAGTAATGCTGCCAGGTATCAAACAGTTTGTGACTCCCTGAAGGACCGCTAAGTAATTTATAGACTAGTCGAGATAAGACAGGTCAGCGCGGAGAAAGAACTGTGTGTTTAGATACGTGGCTGCTGCTGCTCCTGTTTTATGTGAAGCGTTTTCTATACTGGCTTGGGGTGGGTGAGGGCATACCAAGATGTCAGAGAGTGAGAGCTCAGAGGAATTATGTCACCCAAGCCACGTTCCTCATTTCACAGTACAGCAAAATGTCAGTGAAATCCTAGGATCTCTGGAGCCAAAGACCAGGGTTCAAATCCTGATCTGTCATTTATTAGCTGAGTGAACTTGGCAACGTCGCTCAGCCTCTCCATCCCTCCAAATCCTCACCCATAAAAGGCAGATCATGAGAACATCTACCATGTGTGACTGTCGTCAGCGTAAAATGAGACGGTCCACATAAAGCTATAAGCCCAGGGCCAGCTCTAAGGTTCCTTGTTATCAGTGAAGGCAAATGGATCCCCAGTGGGGGATGGGACTTACACAGAACCACCGGGCAAAACTGGGTCAAGTTCAGGCCTCAAACTCGGGCCTGTTCACTCCTAGTTCAGGGCTAATTTCTTTGTTGTAAGCTTGCTTTCTTGGGTATTTTTTTCTTATAACAATAGACAACAGCATGGTGAGAGGAAGCTCTGGTCAATTTGGTTTTAAGGCCAGAGTCAGATCTATGGCCCACCTCCAGTTGCCTTGGGCAATAAGGACGGCCAAGTGCAAAAGCAGAGGTTACCATCAGCCCAGGTATCCAGGATGGTCCAGCATCGCTATCATAATATACTAGAGATACTTCCCACTCAGGCTTTTGCCCTGGGGTTTTGCCTGAGTTCTGTTAAAGCCTCCAGCCTGTTTTCAATATTCTGAAATATTTTGCCGACAGAGGATGCTGCCGTGGACCTAAGTACTGGGGAGGGGAAGTGAAGGCGTCATGTTGACATGCGGGTGTCCTGTGGTTTGTGTCCACTCTCTGAAGGGGGTCCCTGCCAGGCATTGCATCCAGAGGTTTCTGGCTCCGACAAGAGGGAGGCACCATCTATCCCAGGGCAGAGCCCTGCCGGGGAGAAATGAGCCCTCACTGCCTGGCCCCTGCTCCCTTCTCCTTCGGGCCTTAGCTCTACCTTCTGCTTTCATTTTGTCTGGTTTGGGATCACTCAGTCTTGCCCCGGGTCCACCAGCTCACTCATGCTCTGCTCTTTACCTAGAAAGCCCTTCTCTCCAGTCATGGCTTATCTGACTCCTCCCCTGCCCCCAACGCTGCTGTTCCCTGGGGCTCAGCGTCTTCCCTTGAATACCCATCAAACATGCATGCTCCAGCCCCACCCCGTACCAGCCACCCCCAACTCATCTTCCCTGTATATCCTGACTCAAGGGTCCCACAATCCCTGTGGTCACCCCTGCCCTGTTGCTCACTGTGGTCAAGTTGCTATGGCCCCTCTTACTGTCCTCACTGCCTCTGCACAGGCTACACCTTCCTTCTTTCCCACCTGGACTATTCAGTCAGGTCTTGTCAGACCTCCTGCCTTTG